TGGAAAAAAAATCAATAAAAATATATTTAAAAAAAAACACTCAATATAATTAGTTCTTCATCTGGATTTCTGCTTGACAAGATTGAACTACCTGAGGGAATGGGACATCCTCTTTTTCCTCTCTACCCTCAGGAACAGCACTACAGTGATGGGAGCCATGAGGGCTCCTTGCTTACAAACATCTCACTACTGTGTTCTTGGGTTATTGCTGACCTAGAGATGCTAATAATAATGTCGGGAAATTTTTTTTTAATATATTTTATTGATTTTTCACAGAGAGGAAAGGAGATAGAGAGTCAGAAACATCGATGAGAGAGAAACATCGATCAGCTGCCTCCTGCACATCTCCCACCAGGGATGTGCCCGCAACCCAGGCACATGCCCTTGACCGGAATCGAACCCAGGACCTTTCAGTCCACAGGCCGACGCTCTATCCACTGAGCCAAACTGGTCCCGGCATGTCGGGAAATTTCAACACTGTGGAAGAGGGAGGAAACTATTGGAAAAAGTCGTAATAAATGTATTAGATGATCATTGCTAGCTCAATTTTATGAGGCTTAGAGAAATTAAGAACCTTACACAAATTCATTGTATGTGTCATATTCCAAAACTTTTTTCATTAAAATGGAAGTGAGCTGCCTCACTGAATGTGCTAATTGTTTAAAGATATACTTGAGAACAACACAACTCTGTATGCTCAGTTTTCAGTTATCCATGGGCTCAGGTACTAAATTATAATACCTAACAATATTTATAACATGCAGTTAAAATCATTATAACCAAGGGAGGAGCAGAAGCCCTGTGAATTATTAGCTTCCCAAAATGTGCCTGTGCCTTTATGTGCCAGTTATAATGTGTGAGTCTACATGAATCTGTAATGGCCTGAAGCCCTGCGACTTCTCAGCAGATTTAATAGAGGAACAGGTCAGTGACTCTCACTGCCTAGTTCACAACATAAACATCGTATATGGCATAGTTTCTGTGGCCGGCGTCAGCTCAGTCAGAACCACCAGCTGAAGGTCATCTTCAGAACACCTCCCGTGGTCAGCCTCTCTGCTGTTAGGAATGAGGTCTTTGGTAGTGATGTCCCTTTCAACATGTAGCGTAAACATCTGTCCTTGGGCTTGGTGATCCGTGTGAGTGCACCACTGCCACATTTTGTGCCCAAGTGTCAGAGGAAGGTGCTGTATTGTATTGTCTTTTCAGCAGCTTTCTCCTACATTGTTACATTCCCTACGCTTCTTAATGTGGTTGTAAGAAAGGTTGAATGTATTATCTTAAAATTGGGTAGCTGAAATACAGATTTTATTACAGACTTTTGATGTGCTTAAAAATTAGCTGGTCATTATTGAACTATATATATAAAGCCGAACCTTAAAAAAACTTTTTAAATGTTCTTATTGATTTCAGAGAGGAAGAAAGGGAAAGAGAGAGAGACATAGAAACTTCAATGATGAGAGAGAATAATTGATCAGCTGCCTCTTGCACATTCCCTACTGGGGATCGATCCTGAAACCTGGGCATGTGCCCTGTCCTCCTGGTTCATGGGTTGATGCTCAGCCACTGAGCCGCACCAGCTAGACTAAAGCAGAATCTTTTGAAGAAAATTTTCACTTCTCCCCAGTGACTTAACAAAATGTGACTAAATTCAGCTATTAAAGTAGTTAGTATTTCTGAAATCAATAAAAAATATATTTTAAAAAGTAGTATTTTAATGACTACTGTTTTACAATGTCTAAATGAATATTAAGACATTCACTTGTTCCCATTTTGATAATTAAATTATATTTTTGATAAACATAAATGTTTATCAAACATTTCTTTATAAATACTTGTTAGTATGGATGTAGTTGATCTTCGTAATGATTCTACCATGTTACCATCTGATAATTGATTCAAAGGGAATTCAATGAAGAGAAACTGAGGCATAAACTGCAAATCAATTTTTAACTCTTTGGCTTCCGTTTGAACTGTCTGTGGAGAGACCCAGAATGGTCAGAAATTCTATGCTTGGGAGGTTATAGCTAGGGAAGAAGTGATGGTTTACTTTGTGGAAAGTGAGTTTACCTATGCAAGTCCTTATTTGCTAATCTGTAGTGTATAGCACCAGGGGAGGGACATTATAAACTCTTGAGGGAATAAGTTATCAAAGAGAAAGGGGTAGAGGAGCTTAATCATTTATTAGCTCCAATAAATGCCAGAAGAGCTGAAAACTTAAGGCTTAATTGAGGAGGTTTTTTTGTTTGTTTTTTAATGGTCTGCTGCTGAGGGAAAGTGGTATGTATTATTGAGGTCAGTTGTCTACTAGTATAAGGCCCACATAGCATCTTAGGATAGTAAATAATTTCATTCAAGGTCATAACCCACCCTAACAATGGACTGATGACTGTGGTCTGGCCTCCATTTTTCACACAGCTGCAGGCAAACTCTTCAGTGGGTCTCAGTCAGCATTTGTAGTGCTTAGAATGGGAGCTAGGATGCTCCGCACAGAATCTCACTAAGAGTTGCATTTCAGTGTGCACACACACAGAAAGTAAATGTGCACACTGGAAAGGTCAGAGGTCAGGCACAAGAGTCAGGGCCAGCCTTCCATGAAAACTGGAGCCAAAGAGGCCTCTAGAAATAAAGGATAATGAGTGAAGGATGTGATTGATAAGAGAGAAATCTTTGGGTAGGAAAGAAGATAAAATTTTCAAAGGGATCTGTGCCAGATACCTTATAACTGTTTAGCCATCCTAGAGTGATGATATATGACAGATATTATACTCATTTTGCAGATTAAGGAATTAACTTGTTCAGGATAACTTTTAAGTGGCAGAGCTGGAAATAAACTTCCAGAAAATGACTCTGTTTTGCTGCTGGAGGAGAGAACTCCAAATAGCTCAGTGGGTGCGACAGTGGAAGAGAGAACAGCTGGCAACCTTGAGGGTTCGAGGGGGAAAAGAAAATGCTCATATTGGCAAGAGGTCACTTCCTAGTACCAAGCTAAAAGTGAGAAGTTTTCATCACCTGTGGTCTGACTATAAAAATACTTGTTTTCAAAAAGTCATCCTCCATTATAGATTCTGGGCAGTCCAAGTGGTACTTTATTGTAGCTGTATTTTGCATTTTATTCTAGGCATCCTGCACCGATGGGAAGCTTTTCAATCATTTGGAGACTGTTTGGCGTTTTAGCCCAGGTCTGCCTGGCTACCCAAGGACATGTACCTTGGATTTTTCAGTAAGTGCCTCATATCACAAAGCCCTTCATTGGTTCCAAGTATCAGGTGAAGTTAGTAAAAAAGGAGTAATCCATTTATTAGAGCCCATTAATATGCCATTATTAATCATCTTATTCAAATAGCAATTACTGAAAACCACTTTTTTAAAATCTCAAATTGAGTATCGAATTTCTTTTTCTAATTTTGTAAGAAAGAATATTAATGAATCTTTCTATTGTATTTCTTGAGACCTTGAATAACAATTCTTTCTCTACTTTCTAATTTTTACAAGTTCATAGGTTACTAGATATATGCTGACTTTACTGCCAGTTTAATAACTTAACACCAAATGAAATTTACACATTGATCTGCTTCTTATGCAGAAACAAAATGCAAAAGGAACAAATATGTTTTTAGAATCTAGGGACTGAGATATTTTCTTGTTCACATCACCTTAGTTATATATAGCACTGTGGCTTTTTCTTTGCCAACAGAATATATTTGCCGTTTATATTTGCAACTCAGGCATTACATTTTAAGAAATGGTTATAATATTAATGGTCATTAATTTCTACATGGTGTTCTCAGCTCTTGAATTGCTTTCATTAAAATATTAATGGACATGAATGGAGCAGTTAGGGACATTTGAATTAGACCTGTGTAGATTAAATAACAGCATCATCTAATAATATTAACTCCCTCTGTTAATTTCTGGTTTTAATGCACTGTGGTTATAGAATACATTAAAACAGGGGGATCTGGTTGATGGGTTTATGAGAAATCTTTGTACTTTTTGCAACTTTATTAAAAATCTTAAATTATTTCAAAATGAAAAATTAAAAGTTCTAAAACTTAGTAGCTATTTGGTCCTTAAAATACTACTTCTCAAAGCTTACCTGAGTTCTCTTGAGGGGATATAAGTTCACTGTCTACTTTGACATTGAGCCACCTACCCCATCTGTTTGGTGGATCCGTCTTACCTCCTTGCTGCTACTTCCCAGGTGAGGGAGTTGCTTCTCTTATTTCCTACTGGGAGGTAGGTAGATCTAAAAGGGACCCCTTCGTAGGAAGCCAGAGAAATAACCATGGTATTCAGCAGACTTTTCCCATTTTTAAACTTAATAAAAGCTGGCTTTGCCTTGAAATGAGTCGTTGGTCTTGTTCACTTATGTTTGTTTTGCCCACAGTTGTGCTTATTGCAGTCAGTATGACTCCGTCTTCTGAGAGGTGTTTAAAAATCTCTTCGAGACAGGCCCGTCCAGCTCTGCCTTCCACACGGGGCTGAAGAGCCCATTTCAGTGTGAACACAGTGCCCTAACTAGAGAGTTAGTGAGAGGAAGATCTTCCTGAGTTAATTGTGAACATTTTCCTACAGGTTTCGTTTGAATTCCGCTCACTTCTACATTCTCAGCTTGCCACATTGTTTTTCGATGAAGTCGTAAAGCAGATGGTAGCAGCCTTTGAAAGAAGAGCGTGTAAGCTGTATGGTCCAGAAACAAATATACCTCGGGAGTTAATGTTTCATGAAGTTCATCACACGTAAAAAAAGGAAAGAACTAGAACTGGTCACCTACTCGTGACTTCCGTGTGTTCACTTTTAGAACGTGCTTTTATCATTTGCTTTCAGAAGCCAGAAAGCATTTGTTCAGCCCAGCTTTGATTATAAACCTGCACCATCGAAAATTTGCACTTGGAATATGGAAGCACATGTACATAGAATTCAATCACGTATAATTCAAAGTAATGCGTACATTAGCATATTTACAGTCAATGGGATGTCATCACTATTGCTAGAATACTGACATCACTCTTCTGAGAGAAATTGAAACTAAACTTAAACCTTTTAGTTATCACTTTATCCGAAAGAGGTTAGTGGAGATACTCATGTAGTATATATTATAATGACCATATCACGTTTAAGTTATTAAATTCAGACTATTTATAACTTACTGTCATAGGGCCTGTGTCACGGGCTAGGATATTTGCATAATCATCAGATACTTACAGTAAAAACATTGACTTAACAATAGTGTTCATGAAGGTTCCTTGGTACCTTTTTAAAATTGTTCTGATGGTAGTAGGAGATAATTCAATGCTATAGTGAGGTTAGCTCCCTGATAAGAGGACTGAAGTGGTAACTTAATAAAGTTAATTTGTTTATTTTGTAGTTATTTCGGTTATTGAAATCTTCCTGTCTCAGTGTGTATTTACATAGACATAGTAAAGTTTAATTATAGCATTTATATCTTTAGAATACTTTCACAGAGACAAATCTGGACAAAATTCAGACTTTTAATCAATGTTAATCATCTTCCCTCCTCTCACTTCATACCCAGTAGCCCTCTGGCATTACCTTTCCAGTTAGAGTGCTATTAACTTTGTTTCCTCAGATCAGTTAGGGGCCTCGATACTTAGTTCCCTGCATTGAATACAGCGGTCTGGAGCACCTGATAGTCTACAGTGAAAGACTCGTTCTACTCACAGGAAGCATGGTTGTGTCCTCACAAAGGTAGAGCAGTATCTTCCCACTACAGGTTCTCTCCCAGAGCTGCAGTAGTTTCTATGTAATTATGTATCTTTAATAACAAAGTTTTTTTAAAATAGCAAAGTCCCAGGTATCCTTTTTCTCTGTACAATACTTCTTTTCATGGAAATAGAATTTGTGCTTTACCACTGCTCTCCCAAACACCATAGGTAAACTCTTAGGTTCAGAATCTAACTAGTGCTTAGGCTCTAGCACAGCCGTGGGCAAACTACGGCCCATTTGAAATGAATAAAAAATAAAAAAAAAGACCGTACCCTTTTATGTAATGATGTTTACTTTGAATTTGTATTAGTTCACACAAACACTCCATCCATGCTTTTGTTCCGGCCCTCCAGTCCAGTTTAAGAACCATTGTGGCCCTCAAGTCAAAAAGTTTGCCCACCCCTGGTCTAGCATGTACCTGGTGTTTTGGTGAGGGAACCCTGGAATATGTAATATTGCCTTGATCTAGCCATCCCTTTGACCCATGAGGTTCAAGTATGTCCAGAACCCAAGGCAGAGTGTCAAGACAGGATATAAACCCAGGCCTTCTGGCCTAATATCAATGCTCCTGGGTGCTCCATCTAGTCCAGTCTAGAGGCCGTAACTGTGGACCTACAATCAGGCAACTGTACTTTCTGCATCATAAGGGGGAAGCAACACCCCTTTCTTCTTGAAGTGGCACCTGGTGAGTGGAATTGGGGTGGGGAGATGCTACTGAGATGAAACTGGTAAGATTTTTCTGTGGAAATGTCCTTGGTTTTTGCCTGGTTGAGTGAGGACATGAAGTTTGCAGCTACATCGGCCATCCTCACAAAGAGGGGAAAGGTAATTTTTCCAGAGAAGGCAACTCAGAACTCTTAACCAACCTTGCAGTTGTCAACCTGGCTTGTACATAATTGTAGCAAGAGTTTAGCAAGTGTTCCCTAATCCAAGATTGTTCAGAGGGTTAAAATAATCCAAGCATTCAGGCCCAGCACTTTTTTTCTTGTTAATCTCTTTAGGCTCCAGTCATTCTAACAGCAACTAGAAATCTCAAGTACTTCCCATTCCGTTTCTTTTCATCAACTAGCTGCAAAATTATTTTTAGATGCAGAATTTTAAGTGACTTAGGCTTTTGACCTGTGGTGGATTGTATTTTTCCATTTCTGCCCAAGCTATGTATACAAGATAAGGACAGCGGAAACGTTTGCCTCAGTGCCTAGCTTACACCAGACTACACAGCAGGCCCAGGGCCTTACTGAGGAGTTCCTTCCCACCTAGAGCAGATCAGGTGCTACAGCTCCAAGTTAGACTAGGCTAGTTAGTCCCTGACCCAGATGAAAATAAAAATTCAATTAACGTTAAACAAATTTTATTACACAAAGGTCACATAATTGGTATTTCTCTACTTTGTACAGTTATTCTTACTCTCCACAGAAAGGCTGCTTCTTCACTTCTCATCGGGTGATGGCAAGCACTAAAATCCTGATTTTAACAGAATAGTAGTAAAAATGCCTCAGGGATTTACGTTGAAAGCAGTACATTGGTACATGGCTCTTGCACTTATCAGGAATGTACAAATGTATTTTTATTCAAAAATACAAAATAAATTATCTGTAGGCATGGACAATGACAGCAGTAAACCATTGTATGTTGTCAACTGAAACCAGTAACTCCTGATTAGAGTGATTTTCTTGAACATCAGCCAGCCTTTTCTTCAGTCACTTCCTTCAACTGACTTCTCTGAAGTTATAGGTGAGGAGATGCCCTGAGCTTCCTCTCAGTCCTCAGTGATGACGGTAAAGCTCTATTCCAGGCTAGAACATGCCGCCTCCCATCCCTCCTCCCATGCCGCCCATCCCACCCATCCCAGGGTCCTTCTCCTCTTTGGGAAGTTCTGTGACCACAACTTCTGCTGTTGTTAACAGAGAGGCCACGCCAGCAGCATCCAGTAAAGCAGTTCTTACAACCTAGGAGAAGAGTTTCATAAAATATCACTATTTACTTAGTAAATTAAAATGGAGGACTTACTAAAAGACTTTTTAGAAAGTGATCAACTACTTACCTTAGTTGGATCAATGATTCCTTTTTCCACCATATTCACAAATTCTCCAAGCATGGCGTCATAACCAATTTCTGAGGAACCTTGCAAAATTTTCTCAACTATCAACGATCCCTCAACACCTGCATTCTTAGCAATGGTCATTGCAGGAATTTTTAGTGCTTTCTTAATAATTTCTATACCTATAAAGAAAACAAATTTTAGCCACCTTATTTCTTTCTTTTATAAATATTAAAACAGAATTCAACTTGTGAGAGTACTGACATAGGAAAATTACAATTGGAATACACTACAGGCCAAATCATTTCCCCTGAAAATGATGATGCATCTTCATCTCTTGACATCAGTGCTATTGTACTTTTGTTATTCTGGAAATTGCTTTGTGATTTACTGTCTCATTTAGTGGGCAACATTATTCTAACAGAAAGACTAAAAACAGGCTGCAAATAAACTCATTTGTAAGTTAACTTTTTTACCAATTTTTTGATCTTCATTAGTTGGAGTTAAAGAGTCCAAGGCGGGAATGCACCGAAGCAGGGCACAGCCCCCTCCCAGAACAATGCCTTCCTCCACAGCAGCTGGGGTGGCATTGAGGGCATCTGTGACTCTGTCTTTCTTTTCATTCACTTCCACATCACTTGTCCCACCAACCTGAAGATTAAAATCAGTCTAGTTAGTATGGCTTCTCTGACTCAAGATGCTGACAGCCAAGAGTCATTAGCACCTAATTTACTTAAAAGCTTAAATAACAAATATCTCCATGAGGAAGCTAATCCCCTGAACAAGAGCCCAAGAAGTCAAGCATGAACTCTCACCTTCAGCACAGCTACCCCATCTGAGAGTTTGGCCAGGCGTTCATTTAGTTTTTCCTTTTCATATTCACTAGTTGTGGTATCTAACTGCTCGATGATTTCTTGAATACGTTTTTCAATCTGAGCCTTGTCACCTTTTCCTTTCAAGAGCATGGCATCATCTTTGGTCACAATGACCTCTCCAACTTTTCCTAAGTCATGAGGCTGAACGTCTTCTAGGTTGAGAGTCAAACCTTCTTCTCCAAACACCTAACAAAAACATTGAAAAAGGAGCAAGTCTCAGTGATGGTTTTTCCATTATACTAAACGTTTATTAATAACACAGCATGCAGTGTCTTAATGAACAAAACAAAAAATCTTGTTTTACTGTTATTTATTTGAAATATGAGATTTTCAGACCACTGAGTATAGTCTTCCATTGCATTTCCAACTTCTCACTTAACCCTCAATATTTGAGCTTTATATGAGAAAAGCGTAAACTCAGGAAATTCATCCAAGGTCACACTTTTGGTGGAACCAGAACTAACTCAGAAGTCCCCTGTCTTTTTACTATATTCTTAAAACTAGATTAGTCAATAAGGTAGAGAAGGGAATGTGGCACAGCTTAACCCAGCCTCCACCTCCCAGACATGCAACAGAAACAGAGATAAAGTAAGCAGTTCAGTTGGCAGTTCTGCGATTGTAAAAAGTGTAAATTCTACATATTAACTTTAGACCTGGAAGTATAAGTAACATCCCGTAAACCACACCACATTTATGTTACTTACGGCACCACCAGTAGCAATAGCCATGTCTTTAAGCTGGTTCTTCCTATTGTCTCCAAAACCTGGAGCTTTGACCGCTACAACCTGAAGACCAACTTTTAGCCTGTTAGGAACAGTAACGAATAACAGTTAAATTAAAAACAAAGGTAACTATTTCATAGACTGAAAAATGAGAATTATTAAATTTGAGGGTCGCCGAAACCGGTTTGGCTCAGTGGATAGAGAGTCGGCCTGCGGACTGAGAGGTCCCAGGTTCGATTCCAGTCAAGGGCATGTACCTTGGTTGCGGGCACATCCCCAGTGGGGAGTGTGCAGGAGGCAGCTGGTCGATGTTTCTCTCTCATCGATGTTTCTAGCTCTCTATCTCTCTCCTTTCCTCTCTGTAAAAACTCAATAAAATATATTTAAAAAAAAAAAATGTGAGGGTCATCTAATCAGCACTTACCCCATTGGTTCCATATAGTATTAGATTAAGTTGCTATTAAAGTTTGAGCAAGCACTGTTCTTAATTTAGTGCCTTTTTAAATGTCAATGTTGCTAATAGCAATTTGAGCAAGTAATGAATACTTAGAATATACAATCAAAGAAATGTTCCCTTGAGACCAGACTGAGAAACAAAAGGAATACACAAACTTCAAGACAGCTGGTCTATTTTACTAAAAAATCAAATAAAAATCAGAGTGGATAAGCTTTAATGATATGTCAAGTAAATAAACATCCAACTTTTCAGCTACCAATAAAATGGCCCAATGGAAACTCTGTAAGCCTACTGTTTTTGTTTTTATGTTAGCTTCAAATTCCACAATCTCTAAGGCTTTTTTTAATAATCCAAAAAGCAAATCCAAGCTAACAATCATTCCAGGATAAGTAAACTTAGAGCTTTTGGATCAGGTCAAGGTGTGTAATCTCTAATACATACATACCTATTTCATTTGTACATTTCCATTAAAATAAAATTGGAAAACCTCACTTCTGATATACCTCAATTCTTACATTAAGAGTACAAGGTTTAGTAATGCCCTAAGATTCTATTTACAGCATTAACATTACCTGTCTTAAAGTCAAAAGTAATGCATTATAGATTTTAAAAATTAAATGAATAGACCTCACTTAATTTTAGGTTGAGTGCCTATTTCTGGTTCAGACTATTCACTAATTAAAATTTTCTTTTGGACCTGCGCCTGCAAGACAGCGTTCCTGCAGACCGGGTTCCTGCGGCTGGTAGTGGCAGCCGCGGCGGCATGGATCTCAGAGAGCTGGAGAGAGACAATAGAGTCAGCGACCACTCTCTAAGAGCCAGCCTGTACCCCTTTACCTTCAGTTTGTGATTAAAATTGCTTAAGGAACGCCCTAACTGGCTCAGTGGATTGTACTTAATTACTGGGAAGATGAAAATTCAGCCGAATCTGTGCTTCCTAAAGTAGAATAATTATTACTATGCTATATGTTGTCCCAGGGACCAA